ATATATCTTATAATTTTGTATAATCTTGTATATTGGTACTTGGTAGTCTAATATTGTACGTCAAGTTTTAAAATATTTTTCTAAAAAGATGAAATGAATGTCTTGTATATTATTGTATACCGACTATATATTGCTTTATACCGAATTGTGTTTAGTATATTATTGTATATTTGGATATATATTTTATACACCGAATTATATTTTGTATATTATTATATATTGCTATATACCATATATATGTTAATTTGTTTTTTAAAAAATGTATAACTTGACTAATAAGTTTATATTTTATAAGAATAAAACACCCATCATTTTAAAATTTAGAAAAAAATGATTTTCTAAATGTGAAGAGATTGTATGTATCATGTGAAAGAATCGTATTAAAGAATAACTAGTTACTTATTATTCATTATTATTGACTAGTCGATTTTTATAAAATTATGAATATGAAAATTTATAATCACAAATATTTAATTATAAAAGCAACATGAAGATATGTGATAATAATGATTTATTAATACAACACTTTAAAATATTCTTGTATCTTGTTTATGCCCTGCTAAAAGGGTTGATAAGTATAGTGGACCTGCAAATCAGGTCTTGGTTTAGGCAGATCGACGCAGAAATATAAGTGGCTACTTGAATCCAGCCAATCTGCTATATATACATGGTCCCGCCTTTAGTTATCAATTCTGTGCGTCTTTATATAATCAGTCTTACTTTGGCTCGATTGATACGAGAGATAAATCATACATTAATTAATTTCAAAATAATTAATTTTAAGATAACTTGTTTCTCAAAGTTCATAATATATTTCCTTTGGAATTCACTAAAGAAAAAGTGTCTTCATATAAATAAAACACAAAACGTACTACAAGACTATTTTTTTTTATTTCTTTTTTTTGGTCCATGACAATTAAGAAAATGAATTATGTGGGAAAAAATAAAAAAGGAGGAGGAGAGATTTGAATATCTAGAGGTGGATATAAAAGAATACTTTTGTGTAGACTTCCAATCTTGATATCCTTAGTCCCTATCATCATCTTTATTAGTTTCTAGATTCTTTTGTTTTTATTTTTATTTGTTTGTTGTATTAAAAATAAATATTTATTTTTATTTATCCGATTTAATAAATTAAAAGATAACTTGTCTATTTTACTTTATTACCAACTATTATTCATTTTCTGACATTTAGTTAACTTATAAATTACTCTGGACATGTTAAGTCAAATATGAACGAGTCAATGGCATTTATGGATTGGGCAATGAACTTGTTAAAATATAGTATATGTTCCCTAAATTTCAAGTGTTTGTATTAGGAGCTGGATGGTCTAAATTTCACATATATTGTCATTATCCTTTGCATGGTCCCTAATTATTTTAGGTAGATTTTGTTGAATAATATTTGTTCCAGGCATGTAGCACGAAACTTCCAAGTTTTTTGTGGTGAAAACTGGATGGTCCACTCATTATCGACGTCTATTTTAGACTTTTCAAACTCCATTTTTGAATATTTTTTTTAAAAAAAGAGTGTTTGTTTTGATATTCTCTCCGTTTCATTTTGTTTGACATTATTTTTTTATTAAACTGTTAAAAAATAATGATATATTTTTCAATAAAGATATTACTCTTTCTGTCCCTAATTACTTGTCCACTTTTGAATTGACACATTTATTAAGAAAATAATTATTGACATAGTAAGTTTACCATTAAGTAATTGATTGAGGGTATAATACGTTAAAAAAAATTGTCCTTTCTTGATTTATCAAAATGGACAAGTAATTAGGAACAACTAAAAAAAGGAAAAGTGGACAAGTAATTAGGGACAGATGGAGTATTTTATAGCTACACAAAATAATACTCCCTATGTTCCTAATTACTTGTCCACTTTTGAATTGACACACTTATTAAGAAAATAATAATTGACATAGCGAGTTTACCATTTTACCCCAATTAATTATGAAGTAGATCAATTAAAAACTTAAGATTTTCAAGAAGTTCTACTTTCAAAATAATTAATCGAGGGTATAATATGTAAAACAAAATTATATTTCCCTGATTTGACAAAATAGATAAAAAATTAGGCACAACTAAAAAAGTAATTAGAGACAGATGAAATATGTAGTATTTATGTCCAAAGCTTTCAAAAGTTCTATAACGGACCATACAAATTTATGATATATTTAATACCATAAATTTCAAAAATTCTTATTGTCTACATTAACATTTGTGTCAGATTAAAATAAGTCTTACAAAGTAAAACAGAGAGAGTAATATTTGTCCAAGAAAAGTAAGTAATTTTAAAGTTTTCCCACAACTCCAACAAAATTGAGTTTTAAAATATTATTGGAAAAATAGCTGAAACCAATAATTTTTTTGCAGATTCAAACTCAGTTTTTTGCAAACTTTTGAAGCAAACGGCACTAAACAACTCAAGGTTTCACATTGTCTTTTGGTGATACACAATACAAGGTCCCTACTTGCATTTGCTAAAATCTCTTTAATTTTATTTGTTGTCGTTGAACATAATGTCATACAGTCCTAAATTCAATTGAAAAAAAAAAACAAAGTAGTCAAAGAAAAGACGTGTCCCATGCCCCATTTCTTTAATATTTTCATTGTAGTCAAGACAATCATATTAAATGCATGTAAGCAAATTCTGTTGTGGCTTTTAAGAACCCAAAGGGTCACAACTATTGATGAAGCAATAAACTACCCAACTACTTTTTCTAAGTTTCAATTACAAGTTTATCATATCAAACAAGTAAAACCAATCCGCAATTGTAAATTCATTACATCATATAATTTATTTTTTCTCATCAGGTATCCGATTAAATTCACATATTTGAGTAAAAAAGTCTCATATTGGTGAAGAAGCACTCCCTAGCGAAATGATTTCAATTTTCATACCTAAAGGCTATATGTCTCAAACTCGAATTTTTTTCTTGTGTTTGGTATATAAGTAAAAATATTACCCTAAAACACGCATTAAGAAATAATCTAGACAAATAATATGGGATGGGTGTGAGGTAGTAGGGATGGGGATTATGAGGATAAGGGTTCAGATGAAATGTGCTGGAGGGTAGAGATGATACAATCAAATATGGAATACTATTTTCCAAACTTCTTTTTTTGTTTAAGTGATTTATATTCTCTAAAAAATTTGACCAACTAAACGTGAGAAAATATCTCCGTACCCAGTGGCGGATTCAGGATTTAGAGTCCGTGGGTGCCAAATAGACTTATCGATTAAATTAATTTTATATTTGATTGAATTATTTGTCTTTTCGATATATATCATAAATCAATCAATAAAATATAAATAATAAGATATTACACTTTTATTGAGTATTTAATCAAATAAAAGAAAAGTCAAAAGAGTAATAATGTAATTAATTTAATTTAAGTCAATAACAATTATAAAAAAAAATAAAAAATTGTGTCAGCTGTTTTTTCTTAAAAAAACGTGCTTGGAGCTTCTTCTTTTTTCTTAAAAAACGTATGCAGCAAATTTCTCAAAAAAATAGGTACAAATGGGATTCAAACCCGCAACATCAACCTTCTAAAGTTGCCCTCCTACCGTGGCACCACAAGCCAATTTTGTTCTGTGGGTGGCACGCTTTATAATTATATAAATATTATATATATATATATATATAAACCTATGTATATATAGAGTTTCCGTCGAAGTTTGGGGGTGGCGTGACACCCCCACAACCCTTCATAGATCCGCCACTGTCCGTACCAAATACATCATGTGTCTCGTACAAAAGATAAATTCTGAAGTCCTTTCGTTCAAAGAAGTAATGTAGTTGGACGTATTTACTTTCCTGATCTCTAGCCTGATAAGTGATAAGTTAATGCAATTGTAATTAAATTTCTCTTCACCTAATCTCAACTTATATATCTCATCCCTAGGTCTTTATTTTATGTGTCATTATTTGATTGGAGATGAGTTTAACATTTTGATAAGTAGTGACAATATAAAATGAAATAAAACAATTTCTAGAAGCAAAAATAGGACAAGCATAGTGAAGTTTGAAAAAGCAAAACAGGACAATGAAGATTGGAGTAGGGCATGACCATCCCAGTACCATTGCACAAAGTGGTAGACAAGAAAGTAAGGTAACCTAAATTTTACATAGTAGAAGAGTATAGTGCGCAAGTTGACGTCTATACATAATGGTGGATAAGGGAATAGCAATACCATAAAGGACAGAGCTGCTTTCCTTTGTTTTCGTCAGCTCATTGGCATTATCTTAAATTTGTAATGTAAATTATATCTGTTTTATTTTTCACTTTAGTATTAGATTGAACACAAAATTTAATAAAGATAGAGATTTTTATTACATACCAAATATACCCCGAAACTTATGATCTTAGATACGTTATTATATTTATGTAACTATAAGGGTAAATATAGGAGGAAAAGGCTTTGGACCTTTATAGATCGAAGATCTTGTTGTCATACCAAAAAACATAACAACAATATTCTCAGTGCAGTCAGTCATTAAGGAGTTTTGTTTAGGGGGGGGGGGAGATATTTTTTTTATATTAACTTTTTTCAATATGTAAGTCATTTGATCAAACAATTTTAAATATTATGCTTCTTTAATTGTAATTTTTATTTTCAAAGTTTAAATTTATTAACTTCAATATATCGCCTTGAAATCGAAACAAGAAAGGTGGCGTGAATCCGAGTATATATAATGTCAAAGCATGTTTAGACCCATAGTTGGATATATGAAAGCATGTTTTAAACCCATAGTTGGACAAGGAATAACAAATTAATCAAATAGGTCCCCATTTTTTTAAATTTTGTTCCGTACCTTAGCGCAACCGTACTTTTACACTTTGAAGTTTATAAATTCTTACCCACTTATCACCTTTTCTTTCCTCACAACTCAACAAATATCCAATATCCCATTTTTCTCTTAAACAAGCTTTCCGTTATTTCTGTTCATGAATATACTTATAAAATTGAATAATACTTAGTAATTATGGAGCATCCTCAGTATTATTTGGACTCATCATCTCTAGGATTTCCTCTGGGCACTGCCTTTCTTTTGGTTGCTGTTTTCAGTCTGAGTGGCATATTTTCTTGCTGCTATCATTGGCACAGAATCCGGTTGCTTCGTCGACGCGCAGACCTTGAAGCCGGCGATGATCCTGCTTCCTTCAAATATAAACTCAATTATAATATGGTAAGGAATTTACTCATATATTGGGATTGGGGGGTCATGTTTACTTGTTATGACAAGTTAAGTGTTTTATTTTTAAGATTACATATTTCCTGTAGACACTTTTACATGATTTGAAAGTGTAAAAATGTTATTTATGGTGTTGGTGTATGTTAGTTAAACTCTAATTTAACTATTTAAGACCTATTTTTTAAGTCGTTGCGTAATCTTTTTTTCCCTTAAATCTAATTACGTGGAAATGCTGTTTGTTCATGTTTGATGGTGATGATTGAACTTTTACACTATTCAATTACTCCATCCGTCCACATTTGTTTAGCAGGTATACTAAAAATAGATGTCCAAGATTAATTGTCAATTTAAACAATCAAGAAATAGTTAGTCACTTTTTTCCAATTCTGCCCTTAATAATAGTGTAGTTCAATTGAAAAGTTATGTGAACTTTTAGTATTCTTGGTATAGTAGGGTTATATTAGTCAAATTACACCTTGTATTAAATTTTCCTTGAGGGGTGTGCATGACCTTACCCTGACAAACAATTGTAGACGGAGGGAGTATGTACTTTACCCGAGTTTAGTGCAAAAAATAAAGTTAAGAGTTTTTTGGAGGTACAAAAAATTCATAGTATTTAGTGAAATTTACTAGAGTTTTGCAAAGTAATACTTTTATACATAAATCCAATTAAACAGAGTCTTCTTCCTTTTTTTTTCTTTTCTTTTCTTTGGTTTTCCTTTTGATGTCCGGAGCCCACATTGGAATCGCGTACTGCAGGGCCCATTCGAAGGTGACGCTCCCAACATGATTTTCTTCATATCCAGGGCTCAAACCCGAGACCAGTGCACCACAACCATGTTGGTTACGGTGTCTTGTTGAATAACATGTTATGTGACATATTCATCTAACTAGACACTAATGTCTAATTTATTTGTTTTGTCAAAAAATAACTCTGTTTTTTCTCTGTTTTGCAGAGTGAGAAGCAGAACCAAATCCAAAACATGCCTGCAGTGTTAATGCCAGGGGATGAAGTTCCAAAATTCATAGCATTGCCATGTCCATGTCAGCCTCCCCGACCGGAAAAGGTGGCTGAAGAGGTGCAGCTGCCGCCTTCGCCTTCGCCTCCGCCTCCACCTCCGCCTCCTAAGCCAATTCGTATGGTAGTCGGATTATTTTTGTGGTAATATTATTAGTAAAAGGGGAGGGAGTAGTAGTGATTTTAGAATATTGGTATGTATAGATTGAATTGTGGTTCAACCAAATTACCAAGTTTTTTATTTGTAATTAAGGCCATGTGTTTAATGCCTGAGGTGCTAAAGTGATTTGTTCAGTGCAAGCTTAACTAAAACTTCCCAAAATCACAACTAAAATTTTTGCACATGAGTGAGGTTGGCAAGTTCAACGTATTTGACTTGTACTTTAGGTTCAGGATCAAAAGTCTACATTTCTTTTGTAACATTAAATACTAAATTCAAAAATTGTACATCAAGGATTAAAATATCCTACTCTCAAAAATTGTAAGTTTGGAATCCTTGACAAACAAATTAGTCTGTTCGTATCAATTTATGTGACAATATTTGATTGAACATTAAATTCAAAAATGAAATTTGAGATTTAACAAATCATATAGTATTATAGTAAGATGTCAACTTTTATATGACTGATTTAAAATAAAAAATACCGCATAAATTAAGTTAGCATTTAGCCATAGATTCTCAAAAAAAAGAAAAATTAGAAAATCAGATTCTCGATTGAAGTTTCAAATTTTGTCTGATCATATATTTTCAAAACATATTTCACTCTTTTCTGAAAAACATAAAACATTGCATATACTCATAAGTTTAAACACATTTAAAAAACACTCATAAGTTAGGCACAAAACTATCATTGTTTTAATGAACTAGATAATACATATCCTAAAATCATAACACAATATTTTAATAAAAACAACGCAATCACTAGCTACTACAATTCACCAAATTACAAGTAGCTAGTCATGAAGATTCATAAATAAATAAAAGAAGAAACTATTCTTTAATATAATATTTCCACATTCTACGAACTGTTTATTCCACGACAAGCATACATGTCCTGATCAGATGACCAAAGGGGTCCTAAAATTGAAGAAGTATTATATTACTGTAAAAGCCAATCAAACAATCTTCTTTTTGTATCTCAAGAAGACAAAGGAACTCCAAAATAGAGTTTTCACCATGTACTCTACAGGGTCCCTACTTAGGTAGAATTTTGTCGATGAACATATAATATCATATGTGAAAAGACGTGTTCCATGTCCCAGTTATTTAATATTTTCACATTTTAGAGGGGAACACTAAATTAAATGTCACCAATTTCTGTTGCGTCCTTTACGTACCCAAAGGGTCACAAATTTTCAAGGAGACGTAAAATATCTTTTCTCTTCCTTTTTTTTATTTGTTTACTTTGCTTTAGTTTATTCACACTATTTTATTTCCTCTTTAGTTGCTTTGAAGACAAAATAACACATTTTATATTATTTTACCTTAATGAAAAGTGATCAATATTATGACATGTTTAAATCACAAATTTCATTAATTTTATCACTATATAAATATTATGACATAGTTAAAACTAAATAAGTCATTTTAAGTCTTAATTACAACTATTTAGGGTACTTATACTTGATAGTATCAAAATATAAAAATATTTTACCAATTCTAGCCAAATAATAGGAAGTGTAAGAGATTAGGTTCCACAGTTTCACTATTCCCTTTTCTCTCTCACACACACACAAACAAACACACCCAAAGTTGTAATATCCATTAAAGATTCTATTGACAACCATTAAAAGGTTTCAAGACTTTTGAATTCGAAAATTTGATTATGCGAAATTGTTATTTATATGAATTGGGTGTTGTTGCAAATGATTGAGATCTTTCAATTTTGAGATAGTTTGGTAAAGATTAGAGTAATTCATAGAAATTTTAGACGGAATCTCGAGAGTAAGACGAACAATAAATTATATGTATTTTGTATATCGGGTGTATATTGTTTGTATGTCCAATATATTGTATACATGACATACAAACAAACAAAATATATTCAATAACATAATTGTATGTTTTTCTATAAGCAATTATATATTTTTACCAAATCATATATTTTGTAAAAAAAAGTTACTATAACTTAATTTTTTAAAAACAATTCTTTCACTATAAATCAATTAATCAGGTCTCTAATTTTATATCTCCGGGTGCGTGTCCCCAAATAATCTCCATCATTTTACTTAAATTACATGCTAAATCAAACTATATTACTACATAAATAAAAGGGAATTATACCTTAACAAGTCACATGAGTTTTTCAACTACAAGTTAATCATGTTTGAAAGCATAATCAATTATTTGCGATGGATATTACATCAAATTTTACCTGCCACATGTTTAACTAGTGTTATGCTATTGTCGTTGCACGATCTTACAACATATTATGAAAAAAAATACGCCTAAATAGTCATACGGTCACAACAATCACTTCAATTTAGTCCAAAGCACATACAATATTCGTTTGTTTAACTTCACTTTTGAGTTACTCAGAATTTGTTCTTTTCAATTTAGTCGAAATCACATATAAATCTGACGTTTGACCAGACTTACTATGGCTCACTTAGGGCTAGAAAGATAAGATTCTTCATACAAAGACAATTGGGAATCTTCTTTCCAAACTCGCTCGACACACAAAAGAAAAGACGAAAGACGAGAATCAGCGCAAGGATCAAAATACTTAATAGCGCATTGTAATAAATACTAGATAGGCAATAGGTAGAATAACCTTTTTTTGGGAAACTTTCGCAAATAGTCATTATAATAAACTTTATGCTTCATAACTATAGTTTGTATATTTACGGATTGTAGCTCCAGTACTTTAAGCTGTCTCGTTTGTATAATTCATGGCTTTGTATAATTCGCGGGTACATTTGTATAATTCAACTATTTTTGTATAAACTCAAAATAATGAATTTATGCAAACACAAACAATTGAACTTTAAACATTTATACATATTATATAATACAAATTACATTATACAAAAGATATATATATTAATTATATTATACAAATTCCGAACTATACAATCGTGCAAATTATACAAAACTAAAAGTTTAGCCGCGTTATAGCTAAAAGTAGGTCGCAAATTGTAATTAAAGTAAAATGTAGTTATATTAACTAATTAACTAGTATATGTTTGTTTATCCGCGTAATTTTTCCCTTTTTTTTTTAAATATTACTTTAGTCATGATCACTTGATATATATTCCTTCCTTTTTTATTTGCGTGATTTTGATTCCAAACTCCAATTCATATAATGCTACACTCATTATACAACTAACGTCTTGTTCCATTTGCTATAATTCAACTGCTACTATTTGTACCTAATTAAAAAGAATAAAGGACTGTACCCTTTGTCAGTGAGACATCACAAAAAATTATTCTACGGTACTTGTTCATGTACTGCCGTTTGTACAACTATATGAAAATCTAAACAGAAAACAAATTATATTAGCATAATGGACTACAATTATTTTAGTTTTAATATTATATTGTCCGTACATATCTCAAAGTTTTGTACAATAATATCTGAAATAAACTGAAAACGAATCAGACACTTGGCAATTCTCTCACAACAAAACGATTCTCAAGTAATCGAAACCTGGAACTCAAAAAATGAAATAATTAAACAAAATCAGAACAGGAATCAAAGTACAACAGATCATTTTATTTTAATTTGTTTCCTGTGGACAAAGAAGTGTTTGTGAATTATTGTTATACGATTGAGAAGACGGAAAAAAAGGAGGGTTGTCCCTTATGTAAAAAATAATTAAATATACTTTGATGGAAATGTTAGGACTTTTAAATTTCATTATAACAAATAAATATATATAGTCGAACATGTTGAGTAACCTAAAACGGCTAAAAGATAGCTCGAAATTGATTAGTGTAGTTTTTTAAAAAAAATCTCTTACTAATTATTTATTTATTTAAATGCTAAATTCGAAAGCTAATTATGAGCCTCATTGAATTAACTTAAAAGTTCGTCAAACTATTTTAAATCATTTTTAGCTTTGGGGAGTGTTTGGTAAGTTAAAAATAACTTAAATTAAGTTTAAAATGACTTTAAAAGGTTAAAAACCAAAAGTAGGACTTTCCCTATTTTTTATTTGTTGACTTAAAAATTATTTAAGTTTGATTTTATTTTTTTTATGACTTAAAAGTTACTTTTATTAAGCCAATCTAAACGGGCTTTCAAGTGTTGTTTAGAAAAAAAATTGTCTGTTAGGGTATTCTAAAGTCTAAACACTTGCATTTTGACTAAAAAAAATTACGCAAAATCAGATTTGTGATGCGGATTGTTTATGTCTATAAGGATGGTGCATTTGAGGTGCGACAGAAGGGATGCCACAATTGGTATTTTTAAATCAAATGCTCTTTAGATTTTTATTTTTATTTTCGAAATAAAACAAACCTCGAAACCACATTCATAAAAAAGATATGATTATGCATCTCTCTAGGTTGCACAACCACTTTAGATCGTTCTATCCGTGTTTGAAAAATGCATTCCCTCGCCCGCTCGGCCTTTTAATGCTTTTACTTCATAATTTCTCAAAAACTACAAACGTATTCTTGTGTGAATTTTAAATTTGTTATGGTTTGAAAGGAATGAAGGAATTGATAGAGTAGTAGTAAATAATAAGATAGTGAAAATATAAATATCTTAAGAAAGTGCAGATCGCAAGTTGAAGGAGGGAGATAATTGCTTTCCAGTTTTCGCCAGCTGAATGGCATTTTCCAATTTTTAGCTTTTCAAAAACCAGCAAATTTTAAAGTCAGTTTCAACAAAATTTGGAAAATTCTTCTCCCCATCCCATTATTTACTTTACTACTAGTGTCTCTCTTTTTTTTTTGCGTAGATTTTTTTTGTGTGTGTACTATGACATCATCGTATCATCATTGTTATCATTATTTGTTTTTGTAAGTATTATATTTTGTTATAGTTGCCATTACAACTTACACGTTTCCATTACTAGAGGTGTTAAATTTGACTCACAAAAGTATGAGTCGTGCTCAGGTCATTCTAATGATTTGGATGGATTATGTAAGAAATTAAATTTATCCATAATTCATCAAGAATAAAGAGTTCGGATCAATTTGAATAAACTTGTAAATATAAAGGAAAATGAATATTAGAGATAAGGAGTTTATTAAGGGAGTTTGGTGGAGTAAGTGGAGAAGATTTCAGAATATATTGAAGGATACGGTGTTGTATTATAATTTCATCTAACATGTATTGATCTATAAGCTGCAAATTTTGATTGAGTTCAATCATAACTCATATATATATACAAATTATTTGAATTGCGTGGTCATATTGACACTACATCAAAATTTTTTGATGATCTTTAGCGGCAATTAATTAATGACAATAGATTAATTGCCACTAAATATATACATTTAGCGGTAATTAACACTCTTTGTATATGTCTCTAAAACTTTTAGCGATATTGGATCCAATGACAATTAATTAATGCCAGTAAAGGTTTTAACTCTTTGCTAATTATGTGTATATTTTTAGCTTCGTCACTGCCATAATAGTTTAAAAGTGGAGAATATATACTTCAAACAAGAGTTTGATGCTTCGAAATTATGAAATTTATTCCATACGAAACAATCAAATGAACGGATATTATAATGTATCGGTTAGAATGGTTAGTATTAATTCCACTACATAAAAAAGAAGTAGGGCATATAGAGAGAGATGATGCTGAGCACCTAAGCAAATAGGACCCTCACCAACTTTCTCTTTCCGTACCTCGACCCGGACGCCAAACGTACCTTTACACGTACCCACTCTATTTTATTTGATTCTATAAATACATACATACCCCAAAATCAAATCCCCATTCTTACAACTCACAATTCAATCTACTATTCTTGTTTTTGTGCAACGTTGGATGTTGGGAGGAAGAGTGATTAATACTTCATTAAGTTGTTGGTGCAAAATAAGTGATGGAGAGTCCTCAATATTATGCACCACCCCAAATTGTGGATTCGTCGTCTCGTCCATCTCTAGGATTTCCTCTGGGGACTGCGCTTCTACTTCTTGTCGTTTTCAGCTTGAGTGGTGTTTTTTCTTGCTGTTATCATTGGGACAAAATACGTACCCTACGACGTCGATCTCTCGCTGATATCGAAGCCGGAGACGACGATCCTTCATCCTTGAAACCCAAACACACAAACACGGTAAGATCTCCTGCATTTTTCGATGAAAAAGAGGGGAAAAAACATTTTTTTTTTATTTTTTTTATTCTTTATGGAATAATTCTAAAAAAAATATCATAATATTAATAAAAGAAGATTAAGGTTGATAATTTAGAGGATATAATAAGTATTAGGCAGGTTGAGTGATCTTTTAAATGATATATGCATAATTAAGTGATTTTTCCATTACAAAAATAAAATAAACATGAATAATTAATTGTTCTGTCATAGACCTTTGTGATCTGACTCTTTTCTCGAATTCCATATATAATAAAAGCTTAGTGTATCGAGCTGTCAATTATAAGCTTATGGCTAAACTTAATTTGCTTATAATTGTGTGTTTTACAGAGTGAGAAGCAGAACCAATGCCAAAGCATGCCTGCAGTGTTGATGCCAGGTGATGTAGTTCCAAAATTCATAGCAATGCCTTGTCCATGTCAGCCGCCCATACCGGAAAAAGTGGTGGTAGAAGAGCAGAAGCCACCGCAGCCTCCTCCTCCTAAACCAGTTCGTATGGTAGTGGGATTACCTTTATATTGATAAAAAGGGATCATTACCGACATGGGCTGTGATGTAATGGTCAGTTCGGTTCATGCTTAATCAGAAATTTCAAATTTGAGCTTTGAATATGGAGAAAAATCTGTTGAAAGCATCACCACCAAATGGGTGGTTTGAATTTAATTGGAACTTCAATACAAACATCGATTGAGAAAAGAGAGAAAGTAAAAAGGGGATGTTGTTGTATGTACATATACATGAGTACTTGAGTATATAAATTGAATTTTATTTCAATCATTCCCAATCTCTTCATTTGTAAATACCAACGAAAAATTTTCAGTTCCCTGATTTGTATATACTTCATCTATCTATCAAAAGTATTCTTAAACATTATGTTATGACATTCCTATTATTAGAGTAAAATAAGTAATTAAGGGGGTAAAATAAAAAAATTAAAAGTTAAAAAATGTCAATTATATATGTGAAGATGTAGTTTTTTTTTTCAAATAGACCGAAAGAAAAAATTGTTAAATTATGACATTTTTCGTTTTCCTTAGAGTTAATTTGAATAAATTATTGTTCTAGACCAGTAGTTTTAAAAATCTTCATTTTTTTCCTTAAACATCATATCAAGTCAAATGGTGTCACATATTCTTAAACACCATATCAAATCGAATGGTGTCACATATTCTTAAACAACATATCAAATCAAATGGTATCACACAAAATAAGACAGAAGAGTAAAAATTACTTTTTTTCCCTCATGTTAGTATGAAAACTGACACAAATTCAAAACGAGAGAGTATTAAAAAGTATTTAACGTCAGCAGAATAAAGTTCGTGGGATGCAAGTTTTATCTAAAATTTCTCAAATTAAAGAAAAAGGACAAAATACGGTTCATGTGGCATATTTGTTAACAGTATTAATAAGAACATTGGCAAATCAGCTTAAGATTTCGTTTATTTGATTTTATCACTTCTAAGTTGTGTTATGCACAAGTAACACAACTTCAAGTTAAATTAAGGAGATTAGTGCTACTAAATTAAAAAATAAAAATAACTAATTTTAGCAAACTTATCTTACTCTATTTGATTGAAAACTAAATCCGTCATGGTAATTTCAACGATTGAAACTTTTTTAGAAAACCATAATTTATGAATGACTACATAAATTTAGTTTCAACAAGTAGACACATGAAGAGTTGCTATAAATTTTTCAGAAAATCATAAACTATCCGTCTTGCCCAAGTACTAATTAAGTTATGTACTGTTCTATATATTTTTAATTTAATATATTAATTTAAAATTTCTTTTTATTTTTAAATTTTTTATGTTAAATTAAAATTAGATAAATTGAAACTAAGAAAGTACTTTATTCGTCCACTTTTACTGGTCACTTATTCATAAAATAGATTTTCATTAGTCACTTTGACATACCAAGAAAAAACAATTATTATTTTTTCATACTTTACCATCAGCATTAAATACTTATTTTTCAATACCTAATACTTAACATCATGTAATAGGAATAGTTTGGTTAAATACCTATAGTAATAAATATTTTCTTAATGAATGTGCAAGTCAAATAATGACAAGTAAAATAAATCGAGGGAGTAAAAGAAATGAAGGAAAAGAAAGAGTTGACACATGAAGAGTTTATTCACCACTTTCCATCCATGACCTAATTTTCCTGTAGAATGAAAATATAGGAAAATCTACTTTTGATGATGTATATATTCTTTTTTCTTCAGTTCCAACCAACACTACTTCCCCACCACTTACCCCAAATTCTACTGATTCCACCCTCTCTAATCATTTCTTTGTTTTTGTCATTTTTCTTCTTTTTCTTTCACTTTTTAATTCCTTTCCCCATCACATTAGCACCTGCAGGGGATAGACAGAAGACGAATATAAAATTTTCACTCAAAGGTTCAAAAATAAAAATATAATATATATAGTTTTATATTTATAACTTTAAGGTAAATTTTAAACCTCATAGATTACGAAGTTATCTTTTATTTTGTGTTCAAGAGATTTAAAATCTCTATATATACATTTTAAAAATTAATTATCTTATATATAAAATATGAGTTTTGTTGAAGGGATTTGAGTGAACATTCTTTTGACCCCCTAAATTCGCTCTTGCGAGCTAGATAGGATCAATACAAATATTCTTTTGGAAACAAAACAACACGGTAATTTATACAAAAATCAAATTTCTATTGATTTTTTTATTTATTTACTTATTCATATTTTGAACCACGTATTACTTATAACACGATGTCGCGATTCCTCATCCCCGCTTTAGTTTACTCCTCTTTCGAATTGACCCTTCAATTCGCGGAGAACCAATATAATTATTTTTAGTTTCTCTCTATTCCCCAATTAGGTTCGCTGTCTTTTTTCTTTTTCACCAAAATGTTACGTAGAGATCGAATTATATTCTCCATAATTATATATCATATTGTTTCTCGCAAGTTTGGTAATCCGTAACTTTCAGTATATATGGACAGTGGCATATTATTCGGACGATGCTTGTATTCATGTGAATCTATGCTTTCCTCTATATATCATGTATAATAATATTATATATGTGTATTTAATGTACTTTTTTTAATTAAGATTAGGAGTTCAAATTATATACTACTCTTTCTTTTTTTAATCATTGAGTGCACCTCTCTAAAGTGGTTATTGATATTACTGTCATAATCTGTACAATCGAATGCACAAATTCATGAAGCCATTAGAGAGAATAGAAAGCTTGAAGAAGAAGATATTTTGTGGAATGATTCTGTATATACATTCAGCTCAACTGAGCACTATTTATATATGAACGAAAGTAGCATTTTCTCTAACCGACTAACTACTTTGTAACAACTAATATGACAGCTGGAATAACTAAATTAACACTAACTAATTTAGTTGACTAACTAACTATCAGTAACAACTCACTTTATACAATATGCCTATCTACAACAACTATTAATCAACGTACATTTTAATACTCCCCCTCAAGCTAGAGGGTCAAGAATGTTATACACTCCAAGCTTGCCAAGCAAGTGTGTGTGTTGAATGCTAGTGAGAATTTTAGTTAGTAAGTCAGCTTGTTGTTCCTTAGTGTTCACATAGACAACCTTGACTGTGCCTTCTTCGATCTTGTCCCTAATAAAGTGACAATCAATCTCAATGTGCTTCGTCCTCTCATGGAAGATGTGATTTTCAACAATTTGGATTGTTGATTTGCTATCACTGAATATAGTGATTGGTGTATTAATCTGCACACTCAATTCTTGAACAACCCTTTCAGCCAAGTCAGTTCGGCCACAACTGCAACTAGACTTCTATACTCAGCTTCTGCTGAGCTCTTGGACATTGTTTGTTGTTTCTTAGATCTCCAGGAGATTAGTGAGTTTCCGAACTTGACAGCAAAACCAGTAACAGACCTTCTAGTGTTTGGACACGAAGCCCAATCAAAATCACACCAACAAGTGAGTTGTTGAGTGACTCCAAATTGTAATAGTATGCCCTGTCCTGGTGAATTCTTTAGATACCTCATTGTTCTCAATGCAGCCTCCTAGTGAGATCTCTTTGGCTTTTGCATAAATTGACTTAAGGTCTGAACTAAGAAACTAATATCAGGTCTTGTTATAGTCACATAAAGAAACTTCCCAATCAGCCTTTGATATGCATCGGCATCATACAATAATTCATTTCCGGTGTTATTAGTTGCCTCATCAAACTCCATTGTTGTGAGTTTTTGATTGACTTCTAAAGGAGTAATTGTTGGTTTTGATCCACTCAGTCCCATTTCAGAAATGAGTTCCAACACATACTTCCTTTGATTCAATAGTACACCTCTTGTAGACCTCATGATTTCATTGCCAAGGAAATATTTCAGCTCTCCTAAGTCCTTCATCTTGAACTTGTGATTTAGGATCTGTTTGGCCTTCTCAATCAGAGTGATGTTACTACCAGTGATCAGTAAGTCATCAACATATACAAGCACAATGACAATATCAGCCTGTTCCTTTATAGTGAATAAGGAATAATCATGATTGTTTTGTGAAAAATTTGCATTCACCAATGCTTCAGTTAGTTTAATATTTCACTGTCTTGAGGCTTGTTTCAATCCATACAATGACTTTAGCAGTTTACACATTCTTGTTTCTCCTTGCCTTCTAAATCCTTCCGGCATCTCCATATATACCTCATCTTCAAGATCACCTTGAAGGAAGGCATTATGAACATCCATCTGAAACATACTCCAACCTCTAGAAGCAGCTAAGGCTATAACAAATCTCACTGTTACCATTTTTGCTACAAGAGAGAAAGTGTCATGGTAATCTAAACCTTCTCTTTGACTGTAACCTTTTGCTACCAACCTTGCCTTAAATCTTTTCATATCACCACTTGTTTTATATTTGATTTTGTAAATCCACTTAGATCCCACTGTGTTCTTTCCTGCTGGAAGTGATACAATTTCCCATGTTTTGTTTTCTTCGAAGGCTAGCACTTCTTGCTTCATAGCCTCTATCCACCTAGGGTCCTTTGCAGCCTCTTGAAACCTCTGTGGCTTCACTAATTTAGAGACTTTGGTTAGGTAGCACTTGTATTTAGGGGATGTCTTCTCATAAGAGATATAATCTTCCATAGGGTACAAACTAGTGCTTCCTTTTTTCTGGACAACATAGTCTTTCATTCATATTGGCTCCTTTAAAAGTTTACGAGACTTTCTGATATATAATGCAGTTGGTTGTTCAACATGATGAGCATCAACAATCACCTGAGCTTGAGCTTCAATCATAGCATTGTCCTGTGTATCATCAACCAGAAACACATGCTCAACAGTCATATCATCAGTATCTGGTGTGTTATCAGCCACACGTGCATGATCATTAGTCATAGTGTCAACATTTTAAGTCTCTGGGATTACAGCTCCACAAGACTCAATAAGCTCTACAGGTGTTAGAGGAGAAAATTGCACCAAATCTTGTTCAATGAGCATGTGATTCTCATGTGTAGCTGCATATGGTTTGTTCCTGAAAGGGAATATGGTTTCTCTAAATTGAACATCCCTGCTAACAAAGAAAATGTTAGTGTTGAGGTCCAATAGTAAATATCCCTTTTGTGTCTCAGAGTATCTCATAAAAACTGCCTCTATTGCTCTTTCTGCAAACTTGTCATACTTGACTAAGTTTGTAGCATAGCAGAGGCAACCAAATACTCTTAGATGATCAATGTGATTTTTCATCTTGTGCAGGACTTCATAGGGAGTATGGCCTTATAACACAGTGGATGAAAGTCTATTAATGAGGTATACTGCAGCCTTCACACATAGACCGTAGTATCTGATGGGAATATCAGCTTGGAACCTCAAAGCTCTAGCAGTGTCCAA